ACACAAAAGATAATGAAAATCAGCCTTAGTGTTTCCTTCCAACACTGCCAGGAGAGCCAGCATCCAAGGACCTATGTGTAAACACCTACAATGCACCTCCATTCAGGCAGCTGATTATCTTCAATTCTTTTAGGAATTAATATTATTTAAAAGAATTGTTGGTATTATTGAGAATCATAATAATACCCTAAAAGAGCACCTGGCATTCCGAGGTTCCCTGCAGTGCAGCCACTCCAGAGGTCCACCTTTTCTCCTGAAAGGCAGGGAGCCTAAGAAACGACATACATGTATTGTGTTGCTATTCAAGTCTCCTTTAGTTTCTAAATATTTTGGGTTATAGTTTCCCAAGTTGATTCCATGACCTGCAGTTGGGTAATCTTTAGTCTGGGCCATACTAATTTAAAGGGGAGGAGTGGTAGCATATCCATTTCTGTATCGACCAGCTCTTTACACAGTTCTGTGTACTTATTGGATACACATGAATGCCTAAATATCAGATCCAGCTCCACATGCTACCTACTAGATTTCTAAGATGTATCCATAGTCATTTGGGGGGCATTTCCAGTGGTCTGGTATAGGGAGAAGATGAAGCTCTAAATGTACATATATTGTTGACATTAGCACAGCCATGTCTAAGACCCCAGTGCCTCAGACCCATGGGGATGGCAAAGCCTTCCCTAGTCATGCTCAGGAGAATGACAAAGCCTGCAACTTGTCCTGACTGCAGCTTCTTGCTCTATGTTGACAGCCTGATGCTGCTCCCCTATAGAGACCTCCCACTAAGATTAGCTAAAGATGCCTCCTTAACTATATACAGTAAACCACCTCCTTAATTCAAATGTATACAACAAATGCAGTTTCTGAACTGCTGCTGTTGTATCTCCATCAGACCATGAGACCCATCTGATCCCATCTTCTGTGTGTGTGTCTGTCATTCCTTCATTCCCCATCGCCCCAGTCAGGTCAACCCATAGTCAAAAAGGTCTCAGCAGGCTGAGAGGAATAACTAATGTATCTTTATAGTGAATAACAGATCTTATGACAAAAATTAGCACACTACCTTTTAACGGCACCACAGTGAATATTCTTCCTCCAGATCAAAAACGTCTCCCATGGAGGCTTTGATTTATGAAGTATACATTTTTATTTAATCGTTTGTTTATTTATTTTGGTTTTTCCAGACAGGGTTTCTCTGTGTAGCCCTGGCTGTCCTAGAACTTGCTCTGTAGACCAGGCTGTCTTCAAACTCAGAGCTCTGCCTACCTCTACCTCCTGAGTTCTGGGATTAAAGGTGTGCGCCACTACCACTCTGGCACTGTGTGTTATTTTAACATATTTTATCTGCAGATCAGCATACTGCCCAGTGAGCTCTGCTCTGCTAGCATGCATACCAAATCCAGAAAGGGTGTGTTTTGCATTCTGTGGTGTGTGTGTGTGTGTGTGTGTGTGTGTGTGTGTGTGTGTGTGCGCGCACATAGTATAAGAAAACATGTAGTATCAAGAGGTGCATGGAAACTGACATCTAGATTGTGGAACTGGGTTAAACGGAAAGACCTTCCTGCAGCGTTTTCCATTACTGGAAATAGTTTCTGTTAGCTGGATGTCTGACACTTTTGTCTCTATCATTCCATGGTTGAGTTTTTATAAGACATTTTTTTTCTGTTAACTTTCTTTGCATCACTGTTATGACTTTATTACAGGGTTTCATTTTTGTTTTCCAGAGTATATTTAAGAAATAAAGTGACAAAAAACTTTAAAAAGCTAGAGAGGCCCACAGAAATCCACAAAGATACCTCCACAATAGACTACTGGCAATGGTCGAGAGACAGCCCGAACTGACCTACTCTGGTGATGGGATGGCCAAACACCCTAATTGTCGTGCTAGAAACCCCATCCAATGACTGATGGAAGTGGATGCAGAGATCCACGGCCAGGCCCCAGGTGGAGCTCCAGGAGTCCAATTGGCGAGAAAGAGGAGGGTTTGTATGAGCAAGAATTGTTGAGACCAAGGTTGGAAAAAGCACAGGGACAAATAGCCAAACTAATGGAAACACATGAACTATGAACCAATGGCTGAGGGGCCCCCAACTGGATCAGGCCCTCTGGATAAGTTTGACAGATGATTAGCCTGAACTGTTTGGGAGGCACACAGGCAGTGGGACTGGGTACTGTCCTCAGTGCATGAGCTGGCTGTTTGGAACCTGGGGCTTATACAGGGTCACTTGGCTCAGCCTGGGAGGAGGGGACTGGACCTGCCTGGACTGAATCTACCAGATTGAACTCAATCCCAGGGTAGTCATTGCCCTGGAGGAGGTGAGAATGGGGGGTGGGCTGGGAGGAAGGCAGGGGGGTGGTGGTGGTGGTGGGTGTTTGGCGGGAGAGGGGAGAACAAGGGAATCCATGGCTGATATGTAAAATTAAATTAAATTATAAAATAAAATAAAATTAAAAAAAACTTACTTATTAAAAAATTATTTACTAAAAATGTGTTTATCTTTCCAAATTAGCAAAATTGTGTGACTCTGAGTCATGTCGGTTACAGCATGTGTAGATGCTCTTTCGCGCATTAGATTTTTGCACAAACCCAGGCATGAAGTTTTTTTTTTCCGGTTTCCTTCCTTGCTTTAAAAGCAGGAGATTCTCTCAGTTTCAGTTGTCTGTTTATGGAATAGAGGGTAATTATCTTCCTTCAGTGAATATTGCAAATTTGCAGAGATATGTTGAGTTAATCTATAGGAAGGATTTTTTTTTTACTGCAAATTTTTTTATTTTTTATTGCCCTGGACATGTGTCAAATCTTACTGAATATGGAGCCTCTATAGCTGTACCTTGAGAAAGATTAGAAACAACATTTTGGTTCAGTCAGACAAAATACTGTTAGAGATTTGAAGATATTTGACATGAGTACAAGTTGCAGGAGTGATGAGCCTATATGTCTCATACTTGCCATTCTAGAACAATCCATTCAGACACTTTCTCATTTTCTTATCTATCTTTGCTACACTCAGGTTAGTCCCATTCCTGATGTGTGCTTGGCTGGTTTGTGCTGTTCCCATGGTTACAGAACCAAGTCTTGGACAGTCCTGATACTATTGTTGCTACTGGTTAAAGGCTCTCTGTCAGCTCCCTCCCTCAGCCCTGGCCTTGCCTTATGCCACTGAGCGGTATGTGTGTATGTACAACCACGTGGCTGCCTAAGTGGACATTGGCTAGAGAATGGACTTTCCCTTCTTCCTCGGGACATGCTGTTCAAAAAATGCTATCACTTCCATGGCCTTTCTCAGAAGAGAAGGCAAGGAGGTCTGACAATCAATGAGCTTGAAAGCATTTGGCAGCGAGTGCAGAAATGCGTCCAGTATCTGCTTTTCCTCGACTCCTGTCTTCTTTCTTTCTTTTCTCTTCTTGACTTCCTCAAATAGCACATTTTAGAAGCTAGAAGATTCATTTCTTGGCTTTCTGTAGAATCTGGGCTAAGCTATCCTTTGAACATACATGCCCCCAAAAGGAAAAGATTATTTGGATCAAAGCAAAAAGAGTATTCCAGTTTTGTCCTGTTAAGCATCTCCCTGGAGGAAAGGAGTCATTGAAGATACACATATGTGTATGGCTGTGTTGGCTCATTTTATGTCAACCTGATACAAGCTAGAGTTGTCTGAGGGGACGGCACCTAATTAAGAGAATGCTGCCCTCAGATCAGTCTGTAAGCAGGCCTGTAGGGTATTTTCTTAATTAGTGATTGATGTGGGAGATGTGGATGGTGCCAATCTTCGGCTGGTGGTCTTGGGTGCTATAAGAAGAAAACAGTCTTAGCAAGCTGTGAGGAGCAAGTGAGGAGCCCCTCCTCCTTGGCCTCTGCACCTGCGCCCATCCCCAGGCTCTGCTGGTTCCCACCCTGACTGCCTTTGATGATGAACTGTGATATGGAAGGATAAGAAAAACAAAGTCTTCCCTCCCCAAGTTGCTTTTGGTCATGGTGTTTGATCACAGCAGTAGGAACCCTAATACAATGGTTCATTTGGTAAAGTGCTTGTCAGGCAAGCATGGGGACCTTTGATCCAAGTACCCACATGAAAAGCTAGGAAGGAAGTATAGGAGAATCTGTGGGGTTCCCTGGCCTGTGTGTACCTGTGTTATGTATACACACACACACACACACACACACACGCACACGCACACGCACACGCACACGCACACACACACACACACACACACACACAGAGGGGGTGGTGTTGTTCTATTTTACTTTTCTGTTGATGTGAACATCATAACCAAACACAACTTAGGAGAGAAAGTTTTATTTGGCTTATACTTCTGGGTCACAATCCATCATTGAGGGAAGTCTGGGCAGGAACTCAAGCAGAAACCTCAGAAGAGTACTACTTACCGGCTTGACCCCTGGCTCATGCTTACCTAGCTTTCTAAGCCCAGTACCTCATGCCTAAGAATAGCACTGGCCACAGTCAGTCATCAATAGAAATAGTCCCTCAATGGCATGGCCACCGGCCGGTCTGGTCAAGGCAGTTCTTCAATAAAGTTCCTTCTTCCCAGGTGTTTCTGCAATGTGTCAAGTTGTGAATAAAAACTAATTAGGACAGTAGGTGACCACACACAGAGCTGGATGTGAGGAACAAGGACATTAGAAGCAATGAGAACATGCTATAGGTCCTGAGAGTGGTAGATATGTCTGAGGAGATGGCAATAGGCTTGGTTGGAGTGAAGTGCTTACTGTAGAGTAGCACCGTTCTTTGCTCTTCATAAGTTGTACGAAGTTGTTTCTTCCTTTGAGAGATCATTAAGAAGTGTAGCTCGCCGGGCGGTGGTGGCGCACGCCTTTAATCCCAGCACTCGGGAGGCAGAGCCAGGAGGATCTCTGTGAGTTCGAGGCCAGTCTGGGCTACCAAGTGAGTTCCAGGAAAGGCGCAAAGCTACACAGAGAAACCCTGTCTCGAAAAACCAAAAAAAAAAAAAAAAAAAAAAGAAGTGTAGCTCTGGGGCTGGAGCGATGGCTCAGTGGTTAAAGCATGTACCACTCTTACTGAGGATCTGGGTTCAGTTCACAGAACCTTCATGGTGGCTCAAACTGATGGCCTCTTCTGACCTCCATGCGTACTGACTGCCGTTCATGTGGTGCACATACATACATGGAAATAAAACACTCATACACATGAATAAAAACAAATAAATCTTTAAAATAGAAAGACTTGTAGGTTTGCATGTGAAAAAACTGAAGTCCTGAGAAGTCAAGTACTTGGTCCAAAGTTCACAGCTCACAGGACCAGCAAAGAACATGAAGTTCTGGCTCATCGTCTTCATGGTTGGTAATGGACTTGAGATTCACCTCCTATGTAGTGCTGCTGGATGGCCTCCTATTGAGGAAATGCTGGGTTGGGCTACAGAAGATTCTGAATGCCAGCACAAAGAGACTTTATTCTGAAAATGATAAGTCACTACACGATTTGAACTTCATTAAAGTATGGTTCATTTAACGGTTCTACAGGGTTTCTCTTGGTGTTGTGTTCAGAATGGATTGGAAGGGTGTGAGTAGAGGCTGGACATCAGGGTGCTCTGCTGATTAAGTGCTGATAGTGGTTAGTAGTTAATAGACAGGATGTCTGCTGTGTTGGTAAAGGGAAGACTTGAGGAATATGCTGGAGGTGAAATGAAATACCCAATCACGGGTTAGATGTGGTAAAAAGAGAAAAGGACAAACAAAAGATGCTTCCTCATGTGTAAGCAAACTTTGTCAGGCTCGAATCACAGAGAAAAAGAGTGCTGTGGAGGACAGCCTGCATTTCTGTGGGCAACACCCCAGCAGGGATTTAGTGGTAGGAGCATTAAGGAAGCTGAGGCCACTGGGACTTGCGGAACACTTGGAAGTATGTAAACTTCCTCCAGAGGAGAGAAAAAGTGTGTGTGTGTGTGTGTGTGTGTGTGTGTGTGTGTGTGTGTGTGTGTGTGTACAGGCATGTAAATTCTACAGCTGTAGTCTCTGAGGCTGGAGAATCACGGGTTCCACAACAGCCTAAGCTATATAGTGAAACAAAGGAGAGCAAAGTGTCCAGACCATCAGACTGTCTCCATTCGCCTTTTCCTAGATGGAGCTTAGAGGCCTCCGGCATACCTCTCTGCATGCGCTGTCCAGGAGTTCTGAGTAGGCAGAGAGGCGACTTTCATCTTCTGGAATAACCTCCTGCAGTAAGGAGGTGGGCGGGCTCTGGGACTGATAAGCTAAATTCGATGGAAAGTGGCTCAAATCAGATTCTAGGTGATTGACTGCTCCTGCCTCTCGACTCACTGCTCCTGTTTTCTATTCCACTCATTTGGCAAATGATGACGGTCTGTCTTGTGACACTTCTCATATTATTACTTCATTGTTCACCTTCTTGCATTTTTTCTCTCCTTTTTTTCTCCAGCCTTATTGATTAGTCCTTGGGGGTTAGAGATGATGTTTCCTTGCTTTTTGTATTTTTCTTACTCCTGATCCTGAAAAAGGGACCGTGCTTGTATTAATTGACAGTTGCTGCTTGAGAAGGGATATTTTCTAAGGAATGTTGTTAAATGAATCTTATTTTTAGAAAGTAAAAAATTCTACTCATTATGTTTTATATAAAAGCATGTACCATCAGAGTAAATAAATTCGAGATAATTTGTTCTGGTTAATATTACAAAAAATCATAGAAAGGCTTAGGGTTTGTTGTTGTTGTTGTTGTTTTTGCGAAAGTGAAACTTTCTAAATAGGACAGAATGTCAAATCATGAAATTTCTAAAAGCGACAAATCAGGCAGTATTATGTGGCTCAATCTAGTAAGATCCAATAGTAATTCATCTGCTTGCTTCCATCTGAGATGGAATGAGCTCAAGGGAAGCAAGTCCCCCTTTGCTTTAGTCTTAGAGATAGGAAGCTAGGGAGATGCAGGTCCTGGGCAGAAGTCGATGTCAGGGGCAAGAACTTGAGCCATCACTGATTCCTGTCATGAGTCGGTACCACTGTGGTTGATAGGCCCTCCCTGCTACATTGGAACCTCCAGAACATTGATGTCACACCAATAAGGGTCATTGTCATGAATGGCCTGGCTCTTCTGGGCTCTGGGTTCAGAATTGATCTGCATCATGTCAGTGATCTTCACTCCCAACTTGCTTTGAGGCAAGGCCAGGGTCAATGTCAATTATCCTGGAGGAGGATGACCAGCTGATCCACCATATTGTAGAATATCAGAACAAGGGTCAAGCAAATGAATGCATTAAGTACAAACATATGTTTGATAGAAATCTCATTTATTTAGTTACCATTGCAGATGCCAGCATAATCAGTCTCAGTAAGGTGGTGGAATAATCTTCCTGGTGGCTGTTCTAAAGAGTGATAGAACAGAACCCATCTCTTAAGAAAAAGAGATGTGGTTGCTACCAACTCAGCTATTTAGAACAGGAGTGAAAAGTCTGACTTCTTTTAAACTGTGAAGAAAGCTACTAACACCACTATATTCTCAGTGTAAATATTGTAGTAATAAAGCAGATCCTGCAATAAAACTATAAAGACCATAAGGCATGTGACAATAATGCCATTATCATTGTCAATAAAAATCAATAGCAATTCTTAATTATTGTCTAATATCGCATGACAGTAAATAATACACACTTTCTTTTCTTTTTAAAAATTAATTGATTTATCTGTTTTGCATCCTGGCTTCAGTTTCCCCTCCATCCTCTCCTCCCAGTCCTTTCCCCCAACTCCTGCTCTGTCCCCACCCCCCAATCCACTCCTTTTCCATTTCTGTTCAGGAAAGGACAGGTCTCCCATGAATATCAACACACCATAGCATATCAAGTTGCAGTAAGACTAAGCACCTCCCCATGTATTAAGGCTGGGCAAGGTGACCCAGTATGAGGAGTAGAGTCCCAAAGGTCAGCAAAAGAGTCAGAGACAGCCCCTGCTCCCACTGTTACGAGTCCCATAAGAAAACCAAGCTACACAACTGTAATATATATGTAGAATGCCTAGGTCATTCCAGTACAGGCTCCCTGGTTGTTGGTTTAGTCTCTAGGAGCTTCTGTGAGCCCAGGTTAGTTGATTCTGTGGGTTTTCTTGTGATGTCCTTGACTCCTCCAGCTCATATAATCCTCCTCTCTCTGTTCACAGGAAGAATTCCCCAAACTCTGTTTAATGTTTGGCTGTGTGTATGCATCTGTTTCCATCAGTTTCTAGATGAAGCCTCTCAGATGACAATGGGGCTAGGAACCAATCTATGAGTATGGCAAAATATCATTAAGCATCATTCCATTGATATTTTTCTCTCCAATTGTGTTTGGTTCTATCTTAGGTCTCTGGGTCATCTAGCCTGTAGGTCCTAGTACTCCAGGCAGTGTCAGGGTTGGGCTTACTCTCCTGGCATAGGTTTTAGTCATTGGTTGGCTACTCCCTCAATATCTAGGCCACCCTTACCCCAGCACATCCCATAGGGAGGACAGACTGTAGGTTGAAAGGTTATGTGGCTGGGTTGGCATCCTAATCCCTCCACTAAAAGCCTTACCTGGTCATAGGAGATGGCTGTTACTAGGAGTCTCGACTGGGGTCATGCTTGTAGATACCTAGGAGATTCCCGTGTGCCAGGATTGTACCTGATCCCGAAATGCCTTCCCTTCCCAGTAAGATTATTCAGTACTTTCTCCCTCCAACCCCCCCACCCCAATGTTATCGCTCACAGTCCTTTCCCCACCTACCCTCAGTCCACTCATGAAATTTCTTCTATTTCCCAGGGAGATCTGGGTGTCCTGCCCACCATGAACCCTTTTTTTTTTTAACCTAGTCTCTCTGGGGCTGTGGATTGTAGCATGGTAATCCTTTACTTTACAGCTAATATTCATTTATGAGTGAGTACATACCATGTTTATCTTTCTGGGTCTGGGTTACCTTACTCAGGATGTTCTTTTCTAGTTGCCTTCAAATTTCATGATGTCATTGTTTTTAATAGCTGACTAATAAATACTCCATTGTGTAAATGTACCACATTTTCTTTATCCGTTCCTTGGTTGAGGGACATCTAGGTTGTTTCAGGTTCTGGATGTTACAAATAAAGCTGCTATGGACATAGTTGAGCAAGTGTCCTTGTAGTATGATTGAGCATCCTTTGGGTATATGCCCAAGAGTGTTACAGCTGGGTCTTGTGGTAGATTGATTCCCAGTTTTCTGAGAAATCACCATATTGATTTCCAAAATGGCTGTACAAGTTTGCACTCTGACCAGCAACGGAGGAGTGTTCCCCTTTCTCCACCTCCTCTCCAGCATGAGCTGACACTTGTGTTTTTTATCTTAGCCATTCTGACAGGTGTAAGATGGAATCTCAGAGTCATTTTGATTTGCATTTCTCTGATGACTAAGGACGTTGCATTACAGTATCTAAGAAGGGTCTAGGCGTGGTCCACAAGAGGTCTACAATTTGGCTGGAGAACTGTCAGAGGGAATTGGAGGAGAAAGTGTGTGTTTCATAGTTTTCTTCTCTTTCCTTTGTTCTTTTTATTTAAGTCAGTAACTCTTCCTCCTTACTTTTTTTTTTTTAAACAACCCTAGGTTTTATGTGTTTGTCTCTATCTACTTAAGTGGGAAGATTTGGGAAAAGTTAAATTAGTAGTTTTCTTGTTTATTCCTCTTGTTAATTCAGAATTACCTCTGGATTCCCCTAGAGGAAGTTGGATTCCCAAGCAGATGTGTGCAGAGGGGAACCTGTGTGTCATGTGTGGGGCAAGCAACATCAAGCCTTGTGTCAAATTAGAAAAGAGAGATTAGAAGGAGCAACTTCAGAACTAGGATTTGTTTTTGGAAATACCAGAGTCAGGTGTAGCAGGCCAACTCCAGAGCCAGCTTACCCGTACATAGAGTGTGAAACATTAAAACCAAACAAAACAAGAAACCTGCATTCTTTCTGCATTCTGACACTACTAAATGCTTAATTGAAGAGTAGCTTTTAGAATTTGGAAGTACTGGAAATAGAAGAGATGCTTGGCTTAATGTATATAGAGCTCTATATAACCCAAAGCTATAGATCCAAGAAAAAGCCAGAATCATAGTATTGAGAAAAACAAGAAATATTCAAGCATGTAACTTCCCACCTCCTTTCTTATTTCCTGTAGATGGAATTGTCCTATTCTAGGCTGTTTATTCATCTGGGCTAGAGATCAGCCCACTGTGTTGTTCTCAGGGACTATGTTGTTTCTTGTAACAACCCAGGGAGTAAAAATAACCACTTCACAAAGGGGGAAAGGAAGCTGAAAGAAGTTCATGAGATCCCCAAAGACCTGAGATTACAGGTTAAGTCATCTAGCTGGGCTTCTAGCCTGGATCTGTGGTTCCAGAGCCACTGCACTGTGCAGATGACCTGCATTGTTTCTACTGAGATGCCTTCCAGAAGGAGATGGTATGGTGCTACACTCCTTTAATCATTTTGGAGATAAATGTGAGTTCATTGTCAGCCTGGTCTACATAGCAAGTTCTAGAACAGCCAGGGCTATACAGTGAGTAAGACCTTGTCAAAAAAATTAAATAGAGACAGGAGAGGGAACTCAGTGGTTACGAACTCACATTGCTCTTACAGAAGACTTGAATTTGGTTCCTAGAACTCCTTCCAGGTGGCTCAGAGCTGCCTGTGTCTCTAGCTCCAGGAAATCTAATACCTCTGGCTTCTGAGGACACCTGCCCATAGACAGACAGAGAGACCGACACAGACAGACAGATGCACACATGCACACACATATGTAAAAATAAATAAACACATGTATTTTAAAAAGAGAGAAGGTAGCAGGTAAGACCCCTGTAAAGAAAAAGAGCCAGCGTAGGTGTTGTCTCAGGCCTACAGAGTTCAGTGGTGCCTCGGAGAAGATGCTGACTCGGGTTTTCCTAAGAGCAGACACCTGGTGTTTCATGGTTGTGGGGAACCTGAGACCCCATTCCCCGACCAGTCCCGCACTGCAGCTCTACCCTGGGTGATCTGTCACTACACTGAAGTCTCAGGAGCACTGCGCTCACCACCCTAAGCTGTTTTTCTCTACTCCCTTCTCTCTGGTCTTTTAAGGACAGGTTTTAAATGAGACACAAAGTGGACAGCAGTGTCCAAGCACTGAATGACATCTCTACACCAAAGCTTCTCAAGGATGACCAAGTATGATGAATTCTTGTCTTCAAGTCTGAGCACAATCACCATTGGCAGAATTCCAGCATCTGGAATGGTCTGTTTGGACTAAAATGCTAAGCCAATGCTGTGGCTGTCACTGCTCCTCAACACACAGACTCATCCCTAGCTCTGAGTATTGAGTATTGTGTCATTTGCTTCAGCTTTGAGCAACAGTGGAAATAGGTTTACACAACTTTGTCTTTCATTTTTAGCCCCGTGTGTGATTGTGGATGATCTGTGAAGCTGAAAGAAGACAAAAAAATTTTCATAAGCTGGGCCTACCCTGTAGTCTCAACAGTAATTTAGAAACGTGACAAGGGAGCCAACAGGAAACCCTGACACCCATCCTCAGGCTGTCATACCGATGGTGAGCATTTCTTCCCTCAGGGTGACTTGTAAACATGCTTCCATGTAAATTCTCAGGCAGGAGTTAACAAAGGGAAGCCGTTAACAGACATTCAGGCCACTTTTTAAGGTGGAAAGAAAGGGCTTTTGGAGCACTGGAAGTTTTAGTTCATTGTGGATCTAACAGGGAGATGGCCATTCTCCGTATTGGCCTCCAGGGTTAGGGGAATCATTGGAATAGAGAGAAATGATGCTATTTCTGCTTTAAAAAAAATGTGTGGGCCCAGATGACATTATATACACAGGTGTGGGACAACTTTATGTGTCACATTTCTCGTTTATCAGATCATTGTCTTCCTCTAGGGGTCATTAAGAAAATGTCTTTTTCACAGGAGCAGTAGTCAGGCAGGAGCTGATGCCCCCAAATGAAACAGAACAGCTCAGGGGACATCCTCTCGGTTGCTTTGGTGTATTCCTGTAGTGTCCCACTTCCTTCACTTTTATAGAGGTCTGTGGTTAAAAATAGACAAATAAAAGGTATTGTTTTGGATTTCAGGTCGTCCGCATACACCAGGTCACTTCAGAATATATTCTGAAAGAAACATCTCACTTCAAATGCTACATGGAGACATTTAGACAAGATAATGAGCAGATTTCCATTGTGAAATAGGATTGTTTTCATTTGATTTAAGAAAAGCTTTAACTGGAGATTAGAGCTAGTAATGATTTGAATATGCATAATTCTCTCAGCTAGCTTAACATGTGGAATGTGTCCAGTTAGGCAAGGTTATGCATCTTGCATCAAGTTGCAAGTTACTGGGGGGATTGTGAAAGCAATTTAGAGATTTTAAAGCAGCATTTATTGATGATATAGAATAGAAAGGCCTGAGTTCATTTGCTAGACATCAGAGTTATTTACTACTATGGCCTCTCATAATACACAGTCACTTTGCATATAGGTAGAAATATAGTTTTTACAATGGGTACTATCAAAAGAAATGAAACTCACTGTCTTAGTGAATTTGGGTGTGGCCAAAACATGCTACTGGATGTGATTAGAACACTAAAATTCTACTTCTTCTTCAAATAATGAACATGTCATTTTTCTTTTAACTTCTCAGTTACCTGGAGTTTGAAAGTGGTCATATTTCTCACTTTGGAATCACTGTATTTCTCTTAAAATTCATTTCTCACATAGACTATGACTAGTTGTGAGGGAATAAGACCACACTTCAAAGTTCAGCATGTATTGGCAGAGTACAGTTTTAGGAAAGGGAATATTTCATACATTGTTTTAAATTTAATAGCTCTGACAGATGCCCACCCATAGTTTTCAGTTATCATGGCTCATCTTAATACCAATGTGTGACATTAGGTGCCTCTCCAGAGAGGAAGAAAACCATTTGGAAATCAGGTGCATAGAGGTTATTAAACTAATATTTAAAATTCTGGTCCTGAACATTTTACTTCACTCCTAATTCAATGCTGTGGGTAGGAACGTATGGTCCCCAGTCTGTGTGCATGCTTGAGCCAGAGTCCACCTGGAGGACAAAAGATGCTGAGAAGCTCCTACTTCCTTTGCAGCCTTTCTCCTGGGAGTGTGCCTGATAGCTACCATCCACAACCATTTCGTTAGCCAAAGCTGAAGACTGGCTTTCCCTTCCTCTCCCTCCTCCTGCTTTCCCTTCTTCTATCCTTTCCTTTCTTCATTTGTGTGTGTGTGTGTGTGTGTGTGTGTGTGTGTGTGTGTGTGTGCACAAATGTATGATTCCATGTCAGCACACGTGTGGAAGTCAGAGAACAACCGTAGGAAATGAGCCTCACTTCCTACCTGGTCTGAGACATGCTGCTTTATTGACAGATGTTATGCCACTCACTGGTCTGCAAGCTTCTAGGTTTCTCTGCCAAGATTTAGTCTAAGAAGGCAGACTTTTAGAAAGTTATTTATATCTATGTGTGTATAATGTGTGTGTTGGCACACAGCCACAACATACATGTAGAGATCAGAGAACAGCTTCGTGGAGTCAGTTGTTTCCTCCCACATTTATGTAGTTTCTCAAGATTGAGCTCACTCATGAGGCTTTCTCAGCAACTCCTCTACCCATTGAGTCATCTGTCTGGCCCAAGACAGACTTTTTAAAATCATAAAAAGTTAAAAGCTTTCTCCTTCCCATGAGTCTTTCTATAACTTACCTCACTCTCCAAATAACTAAGCATCTTTGAGGAATGGGTTAATAGTACTTGGTGAAGTTCATGAGTCACGTCTTGAGCATCATGTAAATCAGCAGTTCTCAACCTGTGGGTCACAACACCATAGGGGGTTGAACAACCCTTTCACAGGGGTCACCTCAGACCATAGGAAACACAGATATTTACATTATGATTCATAACAGTAGCAAACTTATAGTTATGAAGTAGCAATGAAAATAATTTTATGGTTGGGGTCACCACAACATGAGGAACTGTATTAAGGGGTCCTTAGGAAGGTTGAGAACTACTGATGTAAGTGAGGGTGTGAAACTAAAATATCATTAATCCTCTGTAATACATTTTATGATTTATTTAAGACTGCTAATGCTCATTGTT